ATATGTGCTTGGGTATCACATTGATGTTGTTTGTGTGGTCGATCGAAGATGTAACACAGTGATATCACTATGCATCTTATATATGATTAGGTATCATAATGTATCTTTTGTTTAACAGATTCAATATTTTTAGGTATCACAGTGGTATCATAGTGGTATCACCGGAGGACGGTGGCCGGAGAGAGAAGAGACGAGAGAAGAGAGTTTTAAAAAACCAAAAATATTATTGTATTAAGATTTTAATTTAAAATTACCAAATTTATAAATTTCCTAATTTATCTATTGATTTGTGGTTAATATTGGTTCTCACAGTTACCACAAACAACTCAGTTCTCCCTTGAATAGACCCTTATATATATATATATATATATCATAGACCGTCATTTGTATAGGGCTTAATGAATTAAGCTAGATGGGATGAGGTAAATACCAGACTCTGACATCAACAGCTCGGGTAAGACTAGACCATCGGTCCTTTTGCGAATCATATTCTTTGAGTCGAACCAAATAAGACTTGTCTTTTTCCCCCTTTTTGGAATAGATAAAGAAATCGTCCGTTATTTAATGTCTTCCTTGTTTTTTAAAGTCATTAATTTCACCCCCCCCCCCTTCAAACGGATCAACCTCGATGAATAACAAACTTTTGCATATCAGACCGGTTCTGAATCGAAGCAAACTGTCGGTCAGGCTCTGTCTTTACCTTCTCAACACTACAACAAAATTGGGTTTATATGACATTCCTAATTTTTAAGCATCCTAATAGACATTTTTATAGGACCAAAAAAATAAAGTGTGACGTTGTAATAAGGTTATATGACGCATTTCGACGTCGTAATAAGTTTATTTAGGACACTTTTAATGTAAAGCGTTCCATTAGCAACTTTATAGGACACTATTGAAAAACTGTCCTATAAAAAAATGAGTTTATAGGACATTTTTTCAAAAGTATCCTATAAAGTTGCTAATGCGACACTTTGTATTAAAAATGTCCTAAAAAACTTGTTAAGACGTCAAAAAACGTCATATAAACTTATTACAACACATTTAGATAGGATGTTTTATATTTTGGCCCTATAAATTAAGTCCTATAAAGCGGTCTATTGGGACGCTTAGAGATTAGGTGTGTCCTATAAACTCAATTTTGTTGTAGTGCAAACAAGCTTTTTTCGAGCCCATGTTGACTAGACTTAGACCAGATCGAATTCTCCATTACAAACCCACAAACTCACATGACTAAATCTATGTATGCATGGGAGTAGGTAGAACATAACAATTGGTTGAATTTATTATACCTTCATTGACACATATCAACTCATATATAAATTCAAAACCTGAATCCCAAAACTGTAACGGAAAAGCTTCAATTACTTACCAAATCCAACTGGTCATTTTACAACTCATATAATGTGCAAGCCATATGAACTAATGAACTTGCATCGTTATTAAAGAAGATCTTGGAGTTCAAAGTCCTCGTTATTGGAGTAAAGTTGTTGCCAAAAGCTTTCAACTTCTTCAACCGTTCCAGGTGAAGTTATATTATAACTGGTTTCAAACTCGATTACTGGTTCAAATACAGAACCTGTTTCTAGCGTGCATGATGAAGTGGTATGGCCAGTTGAGAAACTCGAGAAGAAGTGATCAACAAGCTCTGTTGGACTTTCAGTATCTTGACTTGTTATTTTGTTAGGTTTTGTTACTGGCACTGGATCTTGAGTAATTCGTTTCTTGAGATGGGCGTGCCAATGGTTTTTGACTTCGTTATCTGATCTTCCAGGTACCTTTTTTGCTATGGCAGACCACCTGCAAGAAAGCCGCACAATGAAATACTGATTTTGTGAAATGTATTCCTTTTATCCTCTATTACTAGTTCTAAATAAAACAAGAAATACTAAAATCAGTAAAAGTACTAAAATCATATAAAAAGAAATACACCATAATTCAAAAGAATTTTACTGGTAAATTCAATTGAACGTATTACTTGTTTCCAAGAATTGAGTGGTAATGAAGTATTGTTTTCTCCTCTTCGTTGGTGAAGTTCCCTCGTTTTACTTTTGGATTCAAATAATTCATCCATCTTAACCTGCAACTTTTGCCGGATCTTGAAAGACCTAAAAACAGTATTATAATAATAATAAAAATACGGAATCAGACAAATACAGCACCAACATTTTATATTTCTGACACGTATTAAAGATCATGTCAAGTGCAACGTTTAATATCAAAACACTGAAAAGAATGTAGTCAACTTACCAGCATACACAGGCATTTTACTCCAGTTCCATATACCGTATCTACTAATATACGTCACCAACTTCTGATCTTCTTCTGAACTCCATGATCCTTTAGTTAAACCAGACTGCGAATTGCATCTTGGAGTTCTCATAACTTACGTCAGCAAAAATACCCTGAAAGTTTGATCCTTTTAAATGCGATCTCTTACATCCTTTTTGAAAAAATACTGTAATAATACGAAAAACTGCTAGAATTGATTTTATAAAACAATACAAGCTTAAATCTCTTCTATGATTCTCTAAGAACTAAAGAACTAGCTTCCTTTATATATTAGCTTTAAGACTTGTGTTTCATGAATGGAAGTTTCCAAGCATTTTCTTGGAAATATTTTTCAACATTGAAAATATTTTCTTGATCCTATTGACCAAGAAGTCAACTTGTCCCATCAAAAAAATTTAAGGGGTTGTTTATTTATTTCTTAATAGTTCCATAAAAAGACAATATCTGAATCGTTAAGAGGTGAATCTTGTTTCGCAAAAAAAAAAGTCTTTCTCCTAATGATTTTAAAACCATTTGAATGATTGTGTATCATGGATCTCCTTTAACCATTAAGAGCCCTAATTTTATTGTACATAATTACCAAACAATTATATTTCATTTTGCACTATATCACGAAAGCATCTTAATCATTCTGCACCAAACCATTTAGCAATTGCCAAACAACCCCTGACACTTATAAGTATGTAAGAATAATTAAAAAAGGGCCATGCTGATAAATGTTTTTTAAGGCGCTGTTTACCCAAATGCTTACACAGTAAGTGTTTACTCATAGGAGTCAACACTATAATTTATTTTGATGAGTAAGATTTTAGTACATCAAAACGTATTGAATGCAACAATTTACCGGGTAAGTGCTTACATGGGTAAGAGTCGTAATCTTCACTTACCAGGTAAGACTCTCCATCCTTCTCATCACTCTTACTCGGTAAGATTTCTTGGCCTTGTCATGTTCATCCGATAAGAAAATTTATTCGGTAAACACTTACCAAGTAAGCGTTTAGTAAACAACCCATAAATCTAAATTTAAATTTAAAAAAATAATTTATTTTAAAATGTAATTAATTTAACAAAAGTAATCTTACATCTTTTTATTACTTTTTCTACACATGTTTTTAGATGACATTTTGTTGTTTAGATTTTTATTTGGAAGAATTTTTAAGAAACTACAGTTAATTTTCGGTTGTTTGATCAGGTTTTTTTTAATTAAACCGAAATTAAAAACTGAGCTTGCATTGTTATATATAAAACCCAATAGAAAAATCGAATATGTATACATATTTCAATACCAAAGCAATGAGACGAAATTAGATATTTCACTTTCCGAATCAGATATTTCAACCGTAAAGTTTTGGGTTGCACGAAATTCTGAATATGGGATATTCCAAGAAGGTACAATCTAATCTCTTAGGCACATAAATTAGATTAAGTTACTGTGCGTTTTTGGATATTCTGAATCCTCTAATTTGAGAGCCAAAAACGAGGGTTATTTTCCAGAAATTGGATAAGTCCAAACAGTTATGGAAGGTTATATGAAGGTTAACAACAGTTACGAACCAAATAAACATTCTTTAGGAACGCTGCCTCTTGGACACCTCAAGGGGGCGTGACCCCCTTGACCCCCGTTGTAGTTGGCTTGATTCGTTTTTCTACACGACGTGTTTTCAAAACGTTTTTTTACAACGGGAAGAAAATAAAAATGAAGGAAAGGGACCCTGTTCTCACGATTTTTAGGAGGAATAGGAAAAGAAACTGAAGTAAATGAATTGGAAGTTTCCATTTACAACTTTCCTTCCAAGAGAAGGATATATGAACCCTTGAAAAGATTAATAAAATTATAAAACTACTCATGGTGTGATTTTTTGTAGTACTAGAAGGGTACTCGTACAATGCAGCGAGATACATCTTGATTTTAGTATTTTTTTTTTTGTTTTTGTTTCAGTCAATGTTATACTACGGTTTTATGGGGGATTTTGAGAAAACGATAATATTTTTATTTTTGAATAATATATGAGATGAAGATATCATAAGAAATTGAAAAAATTATTGATTTCATACCAAACTAATTATTTAAAATTTCTCATTTTTTAATGTATTTCTTTAATTAATTTTTTTATTTTTGGTTTGATAATATAATTTTTTATAAAGATAATAATTAAGTCTTTTGTTAGAACTCAATGATTATCCTAATTATATTTTAGATTTTTTATATTTAAAATGAAATGTTTATCCTCTATTTGATTATGTTTATCTGCAGTTAGTTATACAAATTCAAATATAAAGCTTTAATAAGTTGTACTTACGCACAATTTACTTGTAATCTTGAACTTTACGTAATATGCATCAATAAACAGTATTTCATACATAAAAATGGTTTTTAAGAGTTTTTGTCAAATGTTTTATAATATAATATAGATTTGAAATGAAGTTGAATTTCATTGTTTATAAATAACTTATGAAAAAATTATAAAAATAATTAAATTACTTTTTTATTAATTGATAATTACATAATAAATGTTTTTAACATATTTTAAAATATTATTACATACAAATCCAATAAAATTCCTTGAACTACCAACAATCCCTCTGGAATATCAAAATCCTATGTTTGTGGGATTTTAATAAAATCACAGGATTTCAAATCCAGAAAATCCTACAAAACAAACATGAGATTACAATGAAATTTAATTTCAAATCCAATCCAATCATGCAAACCAGATTGAACCTCAACCTTTTGTTTTAAAAAGTATATTTATAATTTTAAATCGAAGTATAACCAATTTATCTAAAAATGTTGTAATAAGTTTACATGATGTTTTTTAGCATCTTAAGAAACTTTTTAGGAGATTTTTGAAACTAAGGGATCGTTTACCGAACACCTACCCGGTAAGCATTTACCGGCAAAATTTAACACTGTCATTTACTTACCGGTTATGATTTTAGTTCATCAAAATGACATCGTATGCAACAATTTACTTGGTAAGCGTTTACCGTGGTAAGAGTCGTCGCCCTCACTTACCGGGTAAGACTCTTGTTCTTTGTCTCGTTCTTACCAGGGAAGATTCTTGTCATTATCATATTCATCCGGTAAGGTATGACTTGGTAAACACTTACTTGGATAAGCGTTTGGTAAACGGCTCCTAAGTGTCATATTAGCCCCTTTATATAACACTTTTTGAATAAATGTGTTATAAAAAGATGGGTCTATATAACACCCTTTTAAAAGTGTCCTATAAAAAGGCTAGTATTTGGATAGCCCAGTAAGGATGTGGATAAGAACCAAAACGGAATGGTTCCGCTTACTTAAAACTAAGAGGAGATGCTGCCTACTACTGATACGAAAAAGTATGCTTAGGCATCTTTGAATGCAGTGATGTAAGATTAAAGGACTGTTACCATAACTGCTAACAAAGAGAAGGAAAAGGGATTGAGACATGTCAATAGACAAAGTAGACAACCCGAGCCTCTATGACAAGCCACTTATGGTAAAGCTTTTTTATCCCCGAAAGTCTTCAAACTAGAGTTATTGGCGCCTATGAAACTGTAACCCTAATGTTATGTGGTCAACAGAAAATCCGAGAATGAAGTGTCACACTCAGGATGGTTGACCAGGGCTGTCTCCTTAGCTGCAGAAAATGAAAGGCTTCATGACACTTTGTTTATAGTGTTCTACAAGTTTGTTTGATGCCCAAAACGTCATATAAACTTATAACAACATTTTATTATAGGACACACAAACTTACGGGGTAATTTTCTTTATCGGATGAACATGGCAATGGTCAAAAAACTTACCCGATAAGAGCAATGATAAAGATGAAGTGTCTTACTCTGTAAGTGAGGGTGACGACTCTTACCCGGGTAAATTGTTGCATACGATACCATTTCGATGTACTACAATCTTACCTGATAAAATAAATTATAATGCTGACTCGTAAAGATAAGCGCTTACTGGGTAAGTATTTAGGTAAACATCCCCTTATACACTTTTGTTGTCATATAAATCCGATTTTGTTGTAGTAACGTGTAATGAAATATTGACTTTTGACATTTAGAAAACAATAAGATATATTGATAATTCAGAAAGGAACGTTTACTAAAACAAAATCGGGTTTATAGGACGTCTACAGTATTTAAGTGTCCTAATAAAATGCCTTATAGGACTTAATTGTATATGACCAAAAAATAAAGTATCATGCCTGAAAGTGTTACAATAAGTATATAAGACGATTTTAGATGTCGTAACAAATATTTTACGACATTTATAAAATAGAACGCTTTTAACCTATACAATTAACAACCTAATCGAGCATTCACATAGGTTGATAAAAGCGTCAAACATATGTAAAATTGACCCCTAAGGGATGCTTCCAGTGTTATCTCTTTTGGTTAATCGGGGAATAAACCCGAGTTTTGTCTTATTATGTCACTGATGCATCGAGATCATCAAAAAGACATCGATCATTCCCTTGTCAGTTGCAGCAAAGTTCAACATTTTTAAGAGAAGTTGCTAAAAAGGCGGGATTTTGTCAGTATTTTTATAAACTCAACCTGAAATCTTCTTGGCTTGATACTGCATCCTCCGATTAAACGTCCTCATGCTGTTTTTTCGGACGGCAGTTCTTTGGTGTGGGCTTTACGTCGTTTGGAATTTTCGGAACCAAAACCATGTATTCTACACCAAACCTGATTTCATTTTGCTGGCTTTCTGTTCATGCTTATTAACGGTTTTAACCATTCTTGAACGGACTGGTGTCGCTACCCGAGTGGTTAGTCGGATTCTTTTAGTTTGTTGCCGTTTCGCTATCTGCCGCTCATGGTTTAGTTTTGTCTTTTGTTAGTGTTCGTGTTTGGTTTGTTCGTTCGTTTTTTGTTTGTTTCTGCTTCTGCTTTTACTGTAGCATTTGGTGTTGTAATTTTCTTTTTTAGTATTTACTACCTCAATTTATTTCTTCACGTTTAAATTATTGAAAACGGCCTTGAATCTAGTTGACGAGTAGGGTTTGAAAATTATATACAAAGGACAAACGTCACCCACGTACAGTGAAAGCATTATTGTACCTCTCAATAATAAATAAGTGGAGTAGAATTCACATCTAACAACTTTTTAAAAAAATTAATTAAAATAGTCATTTTAACAGTATGTTTCATCTCTTAGTCATTTCTCTCATAAAATAACACAAATAGCTGTAGTCCCTAATTGGTAGTCTGTAATGTACGAAGAGGTCAAAGTG